ATTTTAGTTTTGTTTTAGTAATGGGTTTGTTACCAGATTCATTAGTAACAGAAGAAAACCCAGCTTTCTGTGTGTGTTAGGAACATGTTCCAAACAGACTTTCTCAATGGCAGCGTTGAGAAATACATGACAGAGGCATAGGCTGGTATGTGAAATAATTTCCCTTTAGGTAGGGATTTGTAGCTCCCAGAAGAATAAAATAATCTGTATGGGTTTTCTAAGTTTCTTCGAAAATCTGAGTATCTATACAAGGAAAAGATCATTCTTTAATTTAACCTCCAAAAAGTATTCTCTGCAGGCAGTAGAAAAGTGGATATTAATTTTTAATCTGCCAATTGAGCAGTAATCTTGTCTAGCAAGTCCTTGGTTAATTTTAAAAGAGAATTTGAAGGTTGTTTGTATAAATCTCTTGAGATTGTACCCCTAACCAGAATAGGTTCCTTTGAAAGCAAAACCCACTGTCTGTTATGCACATTCCTGATGAATCGCAAGAAGGGGATACGTTTCTCATTTCTACACACACGCAGTAAATACTGCAATTTGCCAGTAATTTGTTTCTCTTGTTTATTTCTCAGGACTCTTATTTTCTGTTTGCTAGGTGTCTGCCCTTGTACCATTCTGTCTTTATAAAAACCTGATTTCCCAGTGACTACCGAGGATTAGATCCCATGAACATGTTCTAAAGTTAGTAAAAGCGTCTAGATAATGGTGTACCTACAAAAGCAATTTCATTTGAGACATGCCTTGCTTCTTGACATTCTGGTTGTTTTGCAGCAGAGTCCAAATTAATCTTTTTGTAGAATTATCAAGCTGTACATGCAACAGCATTTGCTGGCTGTTGTATATAGTGCATCCCATAATAAACATGCTTGAGACTGATATTCAATAGACCTATCCCCTATGAATGATTTTGCCTTCAAAAGCAAAATCTGGCATTAGCAGTGTCAATAAAAAGTCCATCACTAAAAACCATTTGTTCTCTGGTGGACAGATTGCAAGATCTTTATATGATATGCCATCAAGCTCCAAGCACTTACTTTGGCAAACTGCTCTCAGGTATGGAAATTTCAGCTATGGAAACCTACCCACCGCCTTTTTCATAATTATTGGTCCATGCCTGGACCAGCTTGTTACTTTCATTCTACCTGAGCTTAAGATGCCTCTGTTATGGGTTCTTTAAGGGTTGGGGATTATTTTTTTTTGCAAGTATTTTTGCTTGCTTTCTATTATCATTAGTGCTGATGTTCCAGTCAGTGTCTGAAACTTCCCTCTCCTCTCAAAGACAAGTTTAGGTTTTTTTTAATAAAAGCTTGTCTATACCTGCAACTATTCTTCAGCATTTCCAACTTTTACTATGCAAATGCTAGCTGGCATAACTGTAGAGATAATCTTGTTTTTCAGATCAGGACTTCACATTGCTTGTACTTCCTGAGCCAAAATGACATCCTCTGTTAAATTTTCAGCTGACAGAGGCATCTATCTTCTCCTGTCTCTCAAAAGCTTCTATGTGCACAACTGCTCCTAATAGCATCGCTGTTGTATCTATAGTATATCATGCTACCAGTTCTGGCAGTAACAGAAATCTCTGTGTAGTTATAAGATCTCTTGGCATATCGTCCTTACAAAACTTAATATTATATACAAGAGCTGTGGGATTTCTCACTTGCAGTTTCTCAATGTGCAGTTATCTGCTAACATGATATCATGAAGTCTGCTCACTTTGTGGTAAAGGAAAGTAATGAGCTGTGTGCGAGAGTAATGTTCAGTGTTCATCTGGAAATAATTAGTTGACCGGTTAGTGTAATCAAGTCAAAAGATTCTCCGGGAGTTATACAGCCATATTCTTTGTACACTGTTTGGGGGAGACAGAGGGGACAGACATGGTGTTTGTGTTTATGAAAGTAGCTTAGTCTCCTCAAAACACGATTTCCTATCTCAGAACCTTAGATGATGCAGTCAACTGTGTCTTAATCTCTTGTGTTTGACAGAGTTTCTGGTCTCAGTAGTGTTTTCTTAAGTTACTTCTGCATTAATTCATGAATCTGGTGAAACTGACTCATTTACAGTTTCTATTTTACTGAAATTTTATCTTAGAATGAATTTTATCTTATGATCTTGTGGATATAGGGACATATTATGTTGTGATGTATTCTGTTTTAGCCCTTTGTAATTTCCATAATTTTCCTGGGTTTCCTCAGAACTAAATAGTCTATAACAAAATCTGCACCTTCCCCCTAGAAGCGTAGCAAATTGGGACAGAGAAATATTCCGTAATTAACATTCTGCTGTGAGGAAACAAGTTGTTCTTTTGGGATTAGCTGGTTTTGATCTATAATGGTATTTGCCTCCACTTTGCGATTTTTACAAAGCTAAAATGTCAATGGTCATTTGATTCCCCTACATGAAATACTTAATTGATGCATCCACTTACGTGTAGAAGTGGTGCTTGGGGACATGGTTTAGTGGTGGACTTGGCAGTGCTAGGTTTACGGTTCAACTTGATAATCTTAAAGGTCTTTTCCAAACTAAATGATTCTATGATTTTACATATTTGAATTCAAGGGTCTCAAAGCCTAGTTTCTCTTACCAGGTTGGTTAGATCTACCATGTCATGGTCACCGTGTCGTTTAGACCTCCATTTGTTATCAAATTCACATAGAGCTCACTGGTCAGTAATTCTTTAGTTTCCTCCTCTAGTGCCTTCTAAAACTATAGGTCTGTGTTTTGCCAGGTGGAGTTTTTAAGATTTAAAGGTGGACTGGCAATCTGTGAGTTAGAGCAGGACGCTTCATGGAGGCCTTGTCTGCCCCTTTCTGATTGGAGAAAGCCTTAAGTCCACCCTGACCAGATGAAACCTTAAGTACCCTAGTCTGATCCCATAACTGATCCTGCTTGGAGCAGGATGTTGAACTAGAGGCATCCTGAGATCCCTTCCCGCCTGAACAATGCTGTGATTCTTGATTCTGTGGTCTGAAGTTAATGAACAATTTTATATAAAAATTTGTAGGTTGATTCTGGATAACATTAGTAAGAGGTCTCAGAGGAACTTCTATACTGCCTGTGATCAGGCTTTTATTGCATTTGTCGTGCTGTAGTTTTCTCAGCTGTCAAGAGAGGATCACTTTACCTGAGTCATCTTGAGGTTCTAATAGCTATTAATTGGTCAATTTGATGAGTGCTTTGTAAACACTAAGGAATGCTAATGAAATGGCTTTTCTCTCCTCTTTTAGTATAATATTTGCATCCTCTTTTTCTTATATTACAGGCTCACGACACTAAAAGAAACTATACAGTATTATTGCCTAATCAGGTGTCAGAATCTTTTCTTGCAAATGCCAAAAGCAACATGTGAGCTGTCTTTGAATGACGAGCAGTAGGAGTGGGACCTCTGGCATCTTGAGAGGGATGTGTGTGCCTCGGTTGATATCAGTTTAACACAGGAGTGCTTCCCAGCTTCTGGGCCTGTGCACGCACCTTTGCTGCCATCCAAATTTATTGTCTGGGCATGAGTTAACTGAGCTGTGGGAAATTTGGAGGGAGTTTACGTTCAAAGGAATTACAGCCCTCTAGGTTGGACAGGGATCTCTTGATGGTTGTAGGGAGACAGAGACTTTGTTTTGCATGTCTCAGCAGGCAGTTTAGATGCAGTTTGAAAGATTTGGGATTACGGGATGTGAGTTCCACTAAATCCTGAACTCTGTAAGAGAAGAGAGCTGCTTCTGTGTGAGGTAGTGCTGGTAAGGCAGCCGGCTGCACCTTAGCTTTTAGGCAGCATCTGCTTGTTTACTCCTGTTTTCTGAGTATGGTGACTCTCTGATTAAAATAAGAAAACTAGTCTTGTAAATCATAGTGAAAACCTTATTTGCCCTGGTATAATCAGTTTCTTAAAGAGCTAGCATTAGTCTGTTAGTTACACTAGCATAGTTTCTCCTGTTAGGCAGCATCTCAGAAACTTGTGGATATCATGATTTAAGCCCTAAACATTTTTGAGGACAGGGTTGTTTATGTTAACAGTATTTTAATACCACTTTCTATGACATAATAGAAAAATAAAATACATATAATGTTGGGGATATAGCTGCATGGCTGTTGTTTTAGAACAGATTTCTTCCTAACTGTTCTTGTGTCTTGGGCAATGTCTTTTGGAATCTGATTCCTTCCTCTTACTTGCTTTTATTTGATCTGTTTAAGTAACTAATAATTGATTTTAAACTGCATTTGCTTTGCAATTTGGTTGCTGTTGAATTTCTGCTGTATGCAAACAAGCAAGGATTTTAAGCAAATCCATAAAAGCAGTGCTTGGTGGCTGATGCCAACTAATACTTGTGGGTCAGCAAGGCCTTTTGTTTTTTTCAATGTAGTTTGCTACAGTACGTGGTGGAAACATATATTAAAAAGTTGAGAATGTTTTGTGGAGCAAATATTAATAATTTTATACTGCCTTGTTCTTTATGCTTTCTAAAGAGCAAAGCATTTGGGATTTCTTTTGGTGGATTCTGCATGACAGTATATCTTGGTCAAGTAGGTGTTGCTAATAAAAAATTTATTATCCCTTTTGCAAAATTGTTTAGTCATACTTGGATGCACCAGTGTAAATAAATCCCTTTTATGCTTCAGATACTGGTAGATTTTTTTTTCTTTAGGGTGGCATCTTAGATATTAGCCAGTATTTTTCACCAGTTCTTTATGATTAAATGCAGTTCTGCTTAAATTCGTAAATGTCTGAGCGTATATTTAAGGGGGAAAAAAAAGATAAAACAAGAAAACAACCTAATGCAGAGTATTAGGCTCTATAGCTCAGGTCAAATAGACTTGAAGTTGTTTCCAAATTTATTCATGCTATGTAATCTGATTTCTGTAACAGATAGAAATAGTGGTAAAGTAATTATCAGTATGCTGGGATTACTGTGAAAGATGAAGTCTCAAATAAGGAGTAAAATATTATATTCGTTCAAAGTAGTTTTATAATGTAATCAAATCCTATTTTTTCCATCTCTTAGATGATGAAGCATGCCTGGGACAATTATAGGCAATATGGATGGGGACATAATGAGCTCAAACCAATTGCCCGGAAAGGACATTCCACCAACATATTTGGTAGGCTATGTTTTCTGGTCTGTTTTCTTTTTTTTTTAAATATTTCTATCCCTGATATCCTCTTTGAAAGACTACCCAAAATTCCTAGCATATTCTGTTTTAATATAAATATTTTGAAGTGTGGATGACAGAAGTGTGTTGATTATTTCAATGGTATATCAATGAATTACTTTACTAAACTATCTTTTTGGGAGAGTAATGTGTTGTTATTGTTGCAAAAGCTAAGCTGTGTCTATGTGCACTGTTACTTTGTGTATGCATATATATAAAAAAATAAAATTTACAGTGCATTGATGATATTTTGGGATGCAATGAATATAAATTTGTTTTTAAAAGAAACAACCTCATCTTGTTTAGATCTTTGTGTTTAATTCCATAAGAATGCGATACAAGAAAAAACGCATGTGCAAGATGCCAAAAAACGCTAGTACCAAGATTAAATTTAAAGTAGCTTCTAAAAAAAGATCTGGATAAGGTGAAAGTGACATTGTTACTTGATGTGGAACTTGCATGTCCTGAACCTGTGGACTGAAATAAAGGAAAAAAAACAACATTCAAAATACAGCAGTTTGAGGGGAGGGGCAAGTTTTGAAAAAATTCAAGGGATGGAGTGAAAATATTTGAGCAGTGGAGCGTGAATGAGTGTTACAAATGGCATTTAGAATAGTATGAAAAGTAAGGAAGGTAAAGAACAAGAAATTGAATAGCCCTGTGTTGCGTACATGTGATCAGGCTAGATGGCTTTTCTTCCTTAAAATATCAATGATCTGCAGCAGTCCTGCTTTTTTGGTGTAAGTGCACTGGGATAGAATAAGTAGGATAGTGATCTGAAAGTGACAAGCATTTTATTGGTACACTGACCAGGAATGAATCCAGTTTTTGTCCCCAGTTCTGTAGGACTGATGGTTCAAAAAACCTGGTTGTAACCATTGAGGACTGAGCCCTGGAGGTTCTCTAGATTCATCCTCTGGCATAGCAGAACGATAACCTTGATGTTAGTGATTAAGGTTAAGCCTGGATTACAGCACCTAAGATGACTGAGCCACAAAGTTAATGCATTTACTTTGAAATGCGCACAGGAGAGCTGCTGTAAGGCTGGGTAGGGTTTTTTGAGTTCTGTTCAGGGTTTCATACTGTGTTCATCCACTCTCTGGTATCTGAGGAAGGTATAAATTTATATCATAACCACTTTTTACATAAAGAATGAGTGTGTATATACTGTGTATACCTCAAGTATGTTAGTATTAGTTATAATAGTTTGCTTGGAATCAAGATTTTGTTGGCTTTTATTGTAAGGCAGTTGACTAATGACTTTGTGTGAGGTTGGTTCTCATTGTAATTGATATTTGTTTTATTTTTCTTGATTTAAACCTTGAATTTATTTCTTATGGATGATAGAAGTACAGATTAGGATTGTGTAAGTGGTTTTCTGTGTTCAGTGCCTGAACTCAGAATAAATTATTTTGATTTAAATCTAACTGTTGTTAGCTTTTTGTTTTCATTTGTAGGGA